TACACAAATATTAATTGCATAAATCATAGATCAGTATGATGAGGATATCTCTTGATGATTAAAGGAATAATTAAATTTAAATGCAGCTTAGAAGTTAGATATAACCAAAAGTGCCAGCGGTAGAAGTAGACCGACCAAAAAGCATCAAGCCTAAACTCCCCTCTCCTCTGAAATAGATAAAAATGCCAGCTGAGCCCAAGCATGACTTGTTTCACTTGTCCTGCTGCGACTACGATAAGTTAAGAAAGTTTATGCTGGGAGACTAGACTATGCTGGACCTTCAAAGTCACACCTTTGTAATATAAATAATGAAATCTCACATTAATTGAGTTTAGTTCCTAAACACATAGAAACTGACTTTCTCATCCACTACAGTAATACCCTTGAAAAATCTAGATGTAAAGTTGCTGGATTATCAAAGAGTCCACAATAAAATGCCTTCTCCCAGAGATTTCATTCGCTCTGACAGACTTGATTGCTAGTTTTAGAGGATTATCTTCAAGACATTGAAAATTGCTGGTGTTGATGCAATTCAGATAATCAATGAAAGTGATATAAACTTTGATCTAGTGGCATTAAATAAATTCACTAGAGATAATCAGAGGCAAGACCCTTATAGCTGGAACCATCTGAAGTCAAATGTAAGAGGCTAGAAGATTCTGTTTGCTCAGGCCTCGATGTATGTCTACACCACAAACCTAATGATGCTTAAGTTCCCAGACCAAGAGAACTATTTCTACCTTATATCCAAGATGAGTCTGGGAGAGCAAGAACTGTGTGACCTTATTTAGAATTTAATGGAGAGCAAGATCTCCGACATAGAACTTGGCAAGAGAAGGCGTCAGGCTATTGACCTAGATACTGACTATCGTGATCCAGTTAAGAGGCCTAAGCAGCTCAGCTAAAAGAGAGTTTGGAATATAAAACCTTAAGTCAAGCCAGTTGAATAGCCCAAATTTTAAATCACTCTTAGGGCTTTAATCCCTGATGAGATCTTTTATTCGAAAGAAGCTGAAGAGCAATGCAATATCTGCTGTGAGAAAATTAGATAGATACAGCTAACTCAACTAAAGCTTAATGTAGGCGGCAATTCCTGTGCTCACGTGTTCTGCTTTGACTGCATTTTTCAATGGGCGACCAAGTAATGCAACTAGTGCCCTCTCTGTAGGAAGAACTTTAATAAACTATAGAGGCCTACAAATGAGCTGCAAATCCCCTAGAACCTCTATTTTTATGAGTTAATAAACATTGCTGACAAGAAGTAAGCCATAAACTACTAAGAATTGATATAAGACATGCAGAATCAAGACAATGACAATCAGTCTGTGGATGAAGATTAGTATTTGATAGAAGACTTCTTTCATAACGAGAATCACTCACAAAACTCTGATGATTAGCAAGTATTGGCTTCACGAAGAAACTCTCATGCACTCGGTCACATATTCATGGTTGTGAGATCTCATGTAAGCGAATTCTCAAATAGCTTTGACAGCTATTATCTTCCAAGTTTCAGTCCTATCCCTCATGAGCCGATGCAGTATCGAGAGCATATAATCGCATACTCACAATCTGAGGCTCAAGACCTTTAAGTCTCGTAGAATGCCGTTCAAATAAACTTGTCAGAGAGTTTAGGCTTGCAAAGTAATATGAGCTATTAAAACCCTGAGGAAAGAGAGCAAACTCTGACATCATCAGACCAGATATTAAATACAAGCGCAGATTCATCCACAATGGTAAACAGATCTCTGCTTCAAAGGATATTCGACAGTATTGACAGGTAAAACTTCCAGTCCATTGGAGTAAGCTTTTATGAAAGTCTAAGATATACCTTGTCTAACTAAGCCAATTAAGATTCCAACAGTGAGGACAGAAACTTCAACTGAAGGAAATAATTTTCTTTAACTTCATTACTGAATCTACTGCTTTTGCTATTTAAGAATTCATTATTGAGGTTATGATAAGTCAAGATTTATTACCCTTACAAGTGGGCAAGCTAAGTTATTTATTTATTTTATTATTTTAAAACTGTTCTTGATGCTTTAAATATTTTCACTTCGGGGTTTTGGGGTTTTGGGG